GAGAGAGAGAGAGAGAGACTTCTCTTTTCCTCCTTTGAATTCGCCTGACGATATAGAATCGTCTTATGAATGATCCATGCGCGATATTACGTGATATCACAATCATTGGTTACCGCAGCGTTACATCTTTCATCCCGCTTTCTCATCTCGTCCCGCCGGATATCTACCGAGCATTGAGCTGAAATATTGAAGCGCGAAAAGAGCGCTTCGAGAGAAGATTTATAGCGACTGTGAACAATCGGTCTCGTCGGCGATGATTTCCGGCGGATTGTCAGAGCTAATTTCAATACGCGGCGTACGCGGACGCCGTGGAAGGGCGGGACGAAGGGGGCGAGGGGGGGGGCGGGGTGGTAGAAAAAAAATATCGCGCACAGAGAGAGCTCGATGCGGCAATTCCAGTGGTCGCGATTTCGCGGCTGTCGCGATGCTGGTTTCCTTTGCAAGAGAACTACTTCTCCATGCGCGCTCCCACTTTTTTTACCCCCTTCCTCCCCCTATCATCCTTCTCTCTCGCCAGGCTCTTAGTCTGGGGAGGATGGAACGGGAGCGGGTGTCCGTAACAAAAGAGCGGATCGATCGGGAGACGCTTTTCTGATTGCGAATACGGCGAGAGACTTTCAGATGAAGTGTAAACGCGAACCAATATACGGATCATAGATATGGAGATCAACAGCAGGAATGCATCCCGCGATAAATTTTCGGATGGGGATTCAGCGGGATTTGTTGAATTCTGTAATATTCCCTTGGTCGTGTGTGCGGGGATCTGACTGACCTAGTTCGATTCCCGAACTAGGTTTGGCTTTGCCGCGCTGCTCCGAGATAAATACGTCTATTCCAATTTTCCCTCAAGAGATATACCGGATATCCGCCAAAGATCTTTTTGGGAGGAAAATTATAAATTATGCGTCGTGCAATTAATAAGTGGAGGGATATAAATTCCCCCCCCTCCCCCCCCCCGCTCGGCGGCTAACGCGGATGTGGAACTAACTAGGGGTGAAGAAGCTGCGCGAAGGACCGCGATTTTTGTAAGGCGCGATAACGCAGAGATAACGCACGTATGAACGAGAAACGTCGCCGGATCCGCGATACGCG